TAAAAAAAAAAACGCATTGTGATCTATGCCGCACTTCTGGGGGCGACCGTTCCAAGCTCTTAATCTTTGTAGGGAAAGCGACCCTCACCCGCTTCTGTTCGAAACGTGTGAGAGAACTCCCGTCGTGAAAATAATATGCGCAGCTCAGGCTGATTGTGACGGTGTTCTCATTTGAACTGGCTCTTCAGTGGCCACGCGATTACACCTATGTACGCATACCCGATGTTCAATGAGCTAGCCCACGCCGGAGCACAACCAGTCTTGGCAAGGTGGAGATGGGAAACAGAGTTGGCAAGGGCCTCCCTGCCTGTGGAAATCCCATCCCGCCAAAAATAGATATGGTCCACTTGTATTCGAGGGCCACTATTTTCTCCGTTGTATTTCAATATTTATATTTAGATGAAACAGAAGCCAGGTTGACATGGCCGACCAGGTTCTCCCGGGAATATTCTACCTTTGTACGGAGACGCGTAGAGAGAAAAAAATAAAAAAGCAACGTTGACCACGTGCCCTCGCAAGTCTTGGAACAAACTCCCATGTCTGGCGATACAGCTTCCATGGCCGCGCGGCGTCGGATGAGGACAACCTCAAGAATATAGAGGTAAAATTCGCGAGCAGCCCAATCTTTGAACGGTTTAAATTGATCTTAGCCCAATAACACACAGAATTCCGACTCCGAGCAGCCTGTCACATTTTGAGTCGCTTACTACTCCTTCGCAAGGAATGCACCTCCAGTGTGGGATCGATTTCGATTGAGCCGTTTCCGGTGGCGGCAGTTCACAGGATTCCGCCCATGCAAAGAACTTACCAATCTTGATAAGGCAGTTTTCAAAGACTTGTTCCTCGTAATAGCCAGGCAGAGTGAACTCAAAAATACCTGTCGATCCTACCAGTTTTTCAGCCTTATTTTGACAGCAAGGCACAGTTTGCAAGCCACCAACATTCAGGGAATTAAACAAGGAGCAATTGCCAACCATTACTACGATGCAGTGTATGCTAGGAATTACATATAAATATATATTATAATATACGCAACTAAGAATTAAAATATGCAAAATATGTGTGCATGTAAGCGAATTCAAGTAAACGGGTGTCACACATCACACATCATTCATATATGCAAACGATTTCAAGTAAACAGGCATTACGCATCACGCATCACTTACGCATGCAAACGGTTTCAATAAAACAGCCATCGCGCATCGTGCGTCAGGCATAATTCTGTATGTAAAAGATTTTAAGCTAGCACGTTTCACACTTACGGACGCTAATCACGTTCGCATGATCAACCGTGATGAGCCCTGTATGCTTAAGTTTGGTCGACGATCTTTTATAAGAATAAGTTCACTTACCTGTCTGGGTGGTCCTGCGCTCTGCAGATGAGATTGAAATCTAGAAGGGATGCAGAGTCCGTGGCTCCCTGGACTTTTGTCTGAGTGTCCCCAACCTGGGTGTGCTTTGTCAAAAAAATGTCCCCGAAAGGAATTTTCTCTGCTTTGTTTTTAGAGTCGCAGGTGTTCATTCTATCCCAAACGAATAGGTGCCCATTGACATAGACTATGTCACGACATAGCCGGTGTCCCCCTCACGTTTTCACACGGTTTACACTTAATTTTGTAAACCACCTTTTTTACATGGAAACCCATGCGGGAGTTCATGCGGGAGCCCATACGCCCTATTCGTTCGACGAGCGGGTGAGAGTGAGATGAGATTCGTTTGAGTGACACCGTTTGAGTGATGCCTGAGGCGTGATACGCGATGCGTGTTCACAAATCATTCGCATGTATAACTCACGCGTGATGCATGATGCCTGTTTCCTTGAAATGGCTTGCTTGTAGGAATGATACGTGATGCTTGTTTGCTTGAGTTCATTTGCATGTACACGCATTTTTTCTCGCATTTTGATTCTTAGTTGGATACATACTGTTCCGTAGTAATGGCTGGCAATTGCTCCCTGTTCAATCCACGAATGTTGGTGACCCGTAAAAGGCGTGGCTTAATATAAAAAAATCCAGTAGGATCGGCAGACAATTTTTAATTTACTTCTCGTGTTCATCTTATGGAAAGAAGCGTCTTCAAAGCATCGATGGCCCTCAACCTCCGGACTTAAGCGGTGATACAGCTGGCCGTTACCACACAAACTTACTACGGACATCATTGAAAGCGTCATTATGTGGCGCACGCCTTACGCCGGCACCGTGTTATTGCTAAAACATTACAACATTATTGATGCACAACGAGCAAACTCCTGACGAAAAGGTACCAAATGGATCAGTAGATAGTGGAACTTTTTACACATTAGCCGGTTTTACGATGGATCAATGCACTCAACAACTGTTTAAAAGTTGTTTGAAGCTTCTTTGAAGTTTTATTATATACTGTTACAGAGATAAGACTGTTTTCATACAATTCCATTAAGGTGCAACAGGTAAACCACATGCATCAAACTAAGACTGAGTCTGCTATATTGAACGAAACGCTTCATGAACATTTCACCAGCCCGTGCCTTTAGTTCACCCACATTCTAGGAAATTACCAGACCTGGCAATCAGCAAAGTGCACCCGTCGACGGCGTTGGGCGCCGGCTGTCCCATCCTTGTTAAGATCGGTGCTGTGTGGAGCAAGGCGGGCTTTGAGGATCTTTCATTCAACGATCATTCATCTTGGATGATGTAAGCCCTGTAAGCTCTGTTAACGCTGTGAGCCAACTCTGTAATTACTGTGAGCTCTCGTAAGTACTGCGCGCTAACGAACAGGAACCCTACAAGGATGTAGTACTTTGTTTTGTCGCGTCTGCATCAAAGAGGCCACCGAACGGTTCTAGTTAGTTTTGAAAAGCTTCGGTACGGAGAGATCTGGCATCATGCCTGTTCGTAAAAGCATGATCTTGCTTGAGGCCAGCAAACCGCAATTTTATCAATTTATGCGTCTCGACAAACATGTTTTTAAATCTGTGCGAGACATTTCTTGCCGATAACCGCCGATTAAAGATGTGCAGTTATGAAAACAAATGTTGGAAAACATTCATTGCGGAACGATTTTCGGGGATGCTCAACCCGCTTCTGAAGGCACGCCGCTCCTTAGTGCTTCATAAAACCTGCCTAAGACGAAAATTTGTGGAATTAGCAATGTGCTTAGGAACTGATTACCAGCAACAGAACGGGCAAAACCTTGGTAAAAATAGGGGTGGAGAGGTACAAGTTGTTTGCTGTTAATTATACTATATTTTGCGAACATGTGCATAGTTCAGCCACTCAGTTGTATCTCAGTACATTCACGGCTTCGTCATTGCCACACGTGTAGTAAGTCTTAATTGAACTATTGCAAGCACGGAGGGTCTTTTCCAAGAGATCGTTTTGCAACACAAATCTTTCAAGCATGTCACTGAGTTGTGGGGGCATGTTTGAAAGGCACTAGCAGGGCTACCAACTTGTATTTGGCCCGAATCTTTGCCGAATGGTGGCAAAGACCTTTCCAGAATAGATCGGTCTGGGGGCATGCAGGAAGAAATGCATATGGGCAACGGCAGGCCCAGCACTGTGTGTGCCCGGGTCCAAACGGTTGTTAGTCAAATGCGGTGTTTTATCCACACACCCCTCATCATACCACTCCCAGACAAAAAAAAGTGATGATGTGGAAAAGCTCCCAGGAAATGATTTTGAGAGGAATGGCCGTGACACGACGGGAGGCGGACCACCAACACAGCAGATGGCACCGGCAGCAACGACCCAAGCCATTAAGCGCCTCTGGCTGCCCAGATGAAGACTGGGTCAATCAGACAGTCAGGAGGTCCTTATGGAGGCCGTGCGAAAACAAACTGGGGAAATCCTAAAGCGAGGTACAAGCGTGTGAAAATAATTGAGACTAAGATTCCGAAGACAGGCGACGGTGGTCACGATGGCTTGGTACACACGCTGAAGGATAACCGAGTTGATGATCTCCACCTTGTATTTGCCGTAAGCCAACAGTTTTCACGTTCGCGTTGCTTCCAGTTTGTATATTCATTCAGCTCCGTTCCGTTATTTATGAGCGGCGTTCATCACGTGCTTTATTTACCCACACGCGAGCGTTGTCAGAATTAGAGCGCCTGTTGTTACCGTAAATGTCTAGGCAATTGCTGGACTGACTCATCAATGATTTGAATCAATACGGCCGACTCAGCTTACCACGGCTCACGTGAGTTTGCAAGGAAGTCGATTCGACTCTGGTTCAACACATGTTTGGTTGACCCTGGAAGTGCACCTTCACATCCTCGAAGAGCATCTTCGATATTCATGACTTGTTTTTTGGCAGGGCGTTCATGTTAAAAGTGCCAACGCCATTACTTCAGTTAGTTGCAAGTAAAGCAATAAATTGACGCGTTTGGACTAGCCACTTACCTTCATCCGCACAGGACGCGTGGTCTCGAGTTGGTCGACTGACACCATCCGAAATTGTGTAGCTTGGTTGATCTGTTGATGTTGGTAGATCTGCGTACTTCGTAACATTTTTTCACTACCGGGTGCTGAGCTGATGGTGCGGCCATGGACAATCTAAAGCGCCCGACAATCTAAAACTTGTTTGGTCTTCACATGCTCCGCGAAAATGTTTCCGGATCTCGGATATCACAGCTCGGATTCTCGGATCTCTCCTAATGTGACGCATCAGGCTCGACATCACACACGTAGCAACGTTCCGATCGTGTATTGTGCGAAAGCATGACATTCTGACCAACCCGCCCCTGGGAATATGAAAAACAGACAATGCTTGATCAAAAACGACGTAAAAAGTGGCGAAGGAATCGAGGCCAATCGTCAGTTCTGGCCTTCGTTGGTCGTGCTCGGTGTGAGTGAACTGCGCAGAGGCTGGCAGGGGCGCTACTGCTGTGTCCTTTATCGAAGGTACAATCACTGAGAACCCCGCTACAGTGGAACGGTGCTGACCTGAAGTGAGATAGCATTTCTTCCCATCAAAGTAACTGATGCTTAAAACGTTGACTGCGTACGTCCAAACATCCTGACAACGATTGACTCATCTTATATTCTTGAACAATGTCAGTACAAATACTCTTTCACACAGCATCCCCGCGGTCAGAAAACACAGATCGAAACATAAAACGCTGAGTACTAAGGACAACTTCTCCAAAACAATTATACACGATACGACAGGGGGCAGTCAACAGAGCGCGGAGCCAGCGCATCGTGCCTCGTGGCCTGCCGCACCTGCACGTGCACACGGGTCCAGTCCGGTCACGACGCCGCCGCGGCGGGAGTGTACACAACGGTGTGCGGCGGTGAGACGACATTCACGGAACGAACCGGACGGCCCCCTCCGGGGCACCCGGTACACCGAGGAGGAGGTGATCCTTAGCTCAGCTCCCGTCGATTCATTCGCTCCATGTCGCGGAAAGGCGTGAAACCGAAGGCGACGGACACAAACACAACTCTTTTGAGCCCCGCCGGCACGGGGCGCAAAACAAGCTCATTAGATTAAAACAAAATGCGTTATTCTTCCCATCAGCAGCGCCTAAATGCAACATCGTGGGGTGGTGGCGTTGAGCGAAATGCAACTGAACAAAACGTAGGCCATCGCTCCCCACTGAATCGTACGATCGGGGCCGAGCGCAGGCGGCCGGGACACCTTCGCGCCCTCCGCCATCCTGTACAAGTATGTATAACAGGCCGGCAGGAGACGAGCGGCGTGCGCGGCGGGCGGCGGCGGCGGCGCGCTCCCAGCCCAGGTGCCGGCTCAGCGCCGCCGCCCGGCGCCGGCCGCGCGGCCTCGCCCGGTCCGCGCCACAGCACCAGCAATACAAAACGGGACCGGCCGGCCGGCGCGCGCTCGGCGGGCGCGCATGCTCACTGCGCCTCACTCTCCAGTTCCAACATGGCGTCCAGCTCGTCGGTTAGGTCGGCCAGCATGGACCCGATGTCGTTCAGCACGTCGCCCTGGCCGCCGGCCGTGCCCGCGGGCGCTTTGGCCGACCTGCGGCGCGGCACAAGTTACCGTTCGGCCCCCGCGGCGATCTCGGCCGGCGCGCCCGCCGCGACGGTGGCGACGCGCGGCGGCCACGACGGCAAACTCACTGGCACCGGCGATTGCAGCATTACAGTGGAGCGTCAGCGACGCGCGATCACTCAATCATCTAGGCTACGGAATGGCAGCATCAGTTCAACAATCGAATGACGTTTGTGTCGGTACGACGATGAGTCGCGGAAACGCATGGAAACATCGCGCACTGACTGACTGACGTAATACCACTCACATCACCTCGTCAGATATGTGCAGAAGACGGAAATCCTCCAAAAAGCGTGCTAAGCCATCTACGAAAAGAGAAGCTGTCTGTGAAAGTGTTCCTCAGACCACATCGCGTGGTCGTGGGTGGCGAATTGCCATGCGCCCGACGCGTCACTCTGGCAACGAACGCCGCGTGCTCTGGGTGCGAGTCCACCATGCAAAAGAAGCCTAACCGACGCCTCCAACCAACCAGAAGATAGCGAGAAGCATGCCTGTCACCAACTACAAATCGCTACAGGCGATACAACAGAGGGCTCATCGACGACGAAAGAAACGGGTCCTCTACCGAAACATGCAGACGAGACAAACGCCGAAAACAAGCCGTCGCTGGCCAGCGGCGGCGTGCGCGAGCGGCGCACCTGCCACGCGGGCATGACCTGTGCTGGCCCCGGTTCCGTGTGAAGGGCAGAGAGACAGAGAGAGAGAGTGCCGCCGGGGACAAGAGGTGTGCACGCACCACGCCGAGTCCACCGCACCGCCGCCTCGCATGCCATCGACAAAGCCTCCTGAAGCGTACCATGCAGCGCCGGTGGCGAGCCGGCCGTGCTCGTCCACTCACTTGGCACTTAGACTAGAGGCCAGGTCGCCGACGGCCGCGTGCGGACGCTGGGCCCGCTGCTTGATCGTGCCGGCGTTGTCGTTGGCGAATGGGAACGAGTCCGACTCGGTGCTCGAGGTCGACTGCGGACACAGCGGGAGGCGCGCGCGCCGGTCAAGCCCCTGCGGCTGGTGAGCCGTCCCCCGGCGTCGCTGAGTCGGCCGGGCAGGACACACACACGCACATACGCATGCACGCACGCGCGTACGCGCACGGATACTGAGACACATAGGCAGGCACAGACAGACACGCACACACACACACAAACACAAAGGCACGCACACAGGCACACACACGGACAGACAGCACCACGATGGCTAGGCATACCCACCCACTGTGAGGTCAGCCACCCCTCGCTCGCCCACACTGGTCTGACCCGTCACCGGTAATCCCGCCGCCTGACCAATCTGATCCCCCGTCACCAGAACTGCTCCGCCCCCCGCCGCCAGCAGCGCCCCGGCCGTCCCCCGACGCACCTTGAAGCTGGCGCTGCTGTCGTTGCGGCCGGCCCGGCAGGTGGCCGGGCTGCCGCTCTCGCAGTCGGAGGTGTCGCTCGTGTCGCCGCTGTCGCGCACCACCAGCGGCAGCGGCGGCGGCGGGAACGCCTGGCGCGCCGCCGCCAGCTGCGCCGCCTCGGCCGCGCGCAGGACTGTCGCGCCGTGGCGGCGGCGGCTTCTTGGGCGTGCTCTGCGGCGTGCTGAAGGCGGGCCGCGCCGCGTCCGGCCGCTTGAGCGGGTCGCGCGGCAGGCTGCCGTAGCCCTTGGGCGGCGGGTCGGCGGCGCCGGCGGGCTCCGTGTCGCGCGTCTTGGCCACGATCTTGGCGACGGGCCGCGGCCGGGCGGCCGGCGCGCGCGGCCGCGGCAGCGTGCCGGCGCCGTCCAGCAGCGCCGGCTCGTTGGTCGGCGTGACGTCGCCGTCCTCGAAGCTGCGCCGCCACGGCGGCGCCTGCAGGATGTACCGCTGCTGCTCGAAGTACTGCAGCTGCGTCTGCGGCGCCGGCGGCGGCGGCGGCTCGTCGCCTGGCTCCCCGGCCGGCTCCACCTGCGGCGGCCGCGCGGCGCGTCATGGGCGGGGTCAGCGCGGGGTCGACGGGTCACCGAGCAGGGGCCGTAGGGGTCACATCGACCAGCAGGGTCGTCTGGGTCAAACGAGCCAACTACGTGGGTCGGCAAGAGCCGCAGGGTCATAGCAGCGGTTATCGGGGTCAGCAGATTTGAGAAATGGGGTATCTACACTTGCCCCGTTACCTGCGCTACGAAGCGGGCCACACAAGGGCTGGTATGATCTCAATGGGTTCAGAGAAGCATTCCGATCGGAAGCACATCGCAGTGTTCATAGGGTCGGGGTTCAGGGTCCAGTAAGCCCACTTAAGGGCCAAAAACTCGGCATAAAAAAATCGTGAAAGCTAATGGAAATTATAGCAGTAGTTTCCCATGTACCTCGTAGAAATGATTCAAATTTCGACGAACTTTATGAGGACCGACTATTCTCCGCAAGAAAGCGAGCCCAAGTAACCCGGAAATACCACGGAAAGCACTCTAAAGTTGCCCACTCCGCCAATCGGCATGATGGCTTATTTCATTTCCCGTCGTCCGCGCGCGATTTTCCAGCCCGACGACTTCGACCAACTAGTTTCACGCACTGCAGTCGCCACCGATCGCGGTCACACGCGTGTGACAGCGGTCAGGGCAGCATCTTGGCGCCAGCACCTGCTGTAGCGGCAGCGGCCGGTACTGTCAGAAGCCCCGGTACCGTACCCCCGGTACTGTCAGGGGCCCCGGTACCGTACCTGCGCCTGCACCTGCTGCAAGGGCAGCGGCCGGTACTGTGAGAAGCCTTGGAAGCGGCCGGCGGCGGCCGTCTCTGCCCAGCCGTCGCGGGCGGGGCCGGCGTGGTGGAACGTCTTGAACTGCTGGTAGGTGGGCTCGGTGGGGCTGGAGCTAGCCGGAATGGCGATCTCCTGCGGGCCGGACGGACCGGCGTCAGCGGCATGCCGAGAACAGCGCTGGCCACGGCCGGGTCTGGCCTCGGCGAGGTCAAGACGCGCGGCGAGGTCACCGCTGGTCACGGTCAGGTCACGACAGCACGGCGAGGTGACCGCTGGTCACGGTCAGGCCACGACAGCACGGCGAGGTCACCGCTGGCCACGGTCAGGTCACGACAGCACGGCGAGGTCACCGCTGGCCACGGTCAGGTCACGACAGCACGGCGAGGTCACCGCTGGCCACGGTCAGGTCACGACAGCACGGCGAGGTCACCGCTGGCCACGGTCAGGCCACGACAGCGCGGCGAGGTCCCCGCTGGTCACGGTCAGGTCACGACAGCACGGCGAGGTCACCGCTGGTCACGGTCAGGCCACGACAGCACGGCGAGGTGACCGCTGGTCACGGTCAGGTCACGACAGCACGGCGAGGTGACCGCTGGTCACGGTCAGGCCACGACAGCATGGCGGGGTCACCGCTGGCCACGGTCAGGTCACGACAGCACGGCGAGGTCACCGCTGGTCACGGTCAGGTCACGACGACACGGCGAGGTCGCCGTTGGTCACGGTCAGGTCACGACAGCACGGCGAGGTCACCGCTGGTCACGGTCAGGTCACGACGACACGGCGAGGTCGCCGTTGGTCACGGTCAGGTCACGACAGCTCGGCGAGGTCACCGCTGGCCACGGTCAGGTCACGACGGCACGGCGAGGTCACCGCTGGTTACGGCCAGGCCACGACAGCACGGCGTGTCGCGGCGTGGTAGCCCACAGCCATGAAACTGCACCTACACCATCTGCACTGCGCCCAGGTGATGGAACATCGCCTGGGTCACGGAGGCACCGCCCGCAGCGTGACCCTAATGAGTTGAGAGGCGCTGACTGAGAACATTGAGCACGCCAGGGCGCTCGCAGCGGCCGGGAAGGCGGCGCAGTCCTGCCCGGCGCCGGGTCTGACGTCACCCACCTGGGTTGTGTACTGGTGCTGGTACTGCGACGGCACGCGCTTGCCGGTCAGGATGTCCTTGGCCCGCTTGATCGCCAAGGTGATCTTTTTCTGGTGTCCCAGCCGTGAGATGCCTGCAGGAGTTGGGGGTTTGGTCGGGGGCGTCTCGAGCGGGCCGGACGAATGTGACGTCATCGCTGCTCCGTCAGTGACAATAGCTGAGCGCATGCAAGCGAAACAAAACAATACTGTCTATACGTCACAGATTTCATGATAAGTCACCATTTTCGTACAAGTGAAAACACGAAATCAATCTATCTTTGGTTCGGAAATAACGCAACATACGACAAAAAGACCCGTTCACCGAGCGCCGTTCACCGTTGGGCGACGTCTGACGCCCCTGCATACAGACTCGAAAAAGTTCTCAGAAGTTCTCAGTACAGAAGTTGATCGGGCAGTCTAATTCATTTCTTTCCAAACTTATAACAACCGCTCCCGCGTGCACTTGAGAGCGGGAGAGCCGGCTCCTTTCATGGAGGGGGGTGGGGAGGGGGGGGGGGGGCTGGCGGTGGCCCGATAGGCCCACAAGGCCCCCGCTTGTTTCCCAATGCCTTCCCAGGAGATTCAGTAGCTTCAGCGTCATAATGGTCCCACAGATCTTCCAAAATCCTCACAGGTGGCCATAGTGCCCAAAGTCTCATATCAATCCCATTTATCTGCCCCAGGGGCATTCTCCAGATCTCCCCATGTCATCTCAGCCTCCAGAAAGCCTCATCACATCCTAACCGTTCTCAGCCAGGCATGCCCACGTGATCTCGGGGGCCAGAGCATCATAATGGTGCCACTGATCTCCGCCAGGTTCTCCCAGGTGACCTCGGGGTCTATGGTCTCTCACAACGTTCTCACCGATCTTCCCGACGTCCTTCCAGGTGATCACGAGGCTAGCGGTCTAACAACGTTCTCACCGATCTCCTCGAGGTCCTCCCAGGTGATCTCGGTGGCCTGCGGCACGGTGGTGTAGCCCTGCGCCCGCAGCAGCTCGCTGTACTCGCTCAGCCGCAGCACGTGCAGCCAGCGCTCCAGCGACTCCGGGATGAAGTCAGGGATGCCGTCGGAGATGTTGAGGCGCGCGATCTCCGCCTTCAGCTTGCGCCTGTGCGCCGGCTTCGTGATCCCGATCGCCGTCAGGTCCTGCGCGAGTCACCGGGTCAGCACTTCAACAACATTCCTCGCCGGCAGATACCACAGGTCACGTGGTCTCCCAGCCAACCGATGTCTCGTGGCGATTGCGATAGTGGACATCATCCAGGCACCATTTCGCTGTCGCTCACACGCCACATTGCCTCTCGGTGCACGAAGCAGAGCCTGGCCAGGACATGAGACATCTGCTAGGCTCTGGATTGATGCGCTGATGCGCGAGCAGGAACCGATGTCGTTCATCTGGCTCACCACATCTATACAGTCTAAGGACAGGAACATATCGATCGAAGTTTTCACTCCGACTAACACGTGGAAACACATGCACTGTAAGAGCCGGTGACGACTGTTAAACGCACGACCTTCGGCTCACGAAACAAGCACGCCCCCGCAGCGCCGCGACCGTGTTTATAGTGTAACAGCGACAGCCCGCGGCTGTCCGCGCTGCCTGCCGTGTTACACAGGGCGCCTCGGTCCCGGGGGTCCAGTCTGGTTCAGTCGCGCGCCGTCGCGGGCGCGTCACCACACCGAGCCGTCATCCGCCCCGCTTGATCGTCCGACCGGCAGAGCGGCGCCCCGCGGAGCATGGCCGCAGGGCGGGGAGGCGACGACGCACAGCGCGCCGGAATCGCTGGCCGCGGTTACCCCAGACCATCGGCCGGCCGGCCGGACACGCCGCCGGCGCGGGAGAGGCTCCACCGGAGCGGGAGAGGCTCCGCCGGTGCAGGAGAGGCTCCCCCGGCCGGGGCCAGGCTCAGAGGTCCATTGTAGGCCGACGGCCAGGCTCAGAGGTCCATTGAAGGCCGACGGCCAGGCTCAGAGGTCCATTGAAGGCCGACGGCCAGGCTCAGAGGTCCATTGAAGGCCGACGGCCAGGCTCAGAGGTCCATTGTAGGCCGACGGCCAGGCTCAGAGGTCCATTGAAGGCCGACGGCCAGGCTCAGAGGTCCATTGAAGGCCGACGGCCAGGCTCAGAGGTCCATTGAAGGCCGACGGCCAGGCTCAGAGGTCCATTGAAGGCCGACAGCCAGGCTCAGAGGTCCATTGTAGGCCGACGACCAGGCTCAGAGGTCCATTGAAGGCCGACGGCCAGGCTCAGAGGTCCCTTGAAGGCCGACGGCCAGGCTCAGAGGTCCATTGAAGGCCGACGGCCAGGCTCAGAGGTCCATTGAAGGCCGACGGCCCGGTCACAGCCAGCATCCGGCGGCCGGTCATTTTCCGGTGCGCTGACCGCGACACCAGACGGCGCTGCCGCGGTCGGTCTGTTTTTGCCCGGTCCACCTCCAGCTTTTGAAACGCGTCACAGCACAGCGGTCGGCTTCTTCGAACGGCAGCCTGGGCATGTTCTTAGGATAGACCGCTTTAACAGCCAATGAAAATGCCTTCCAGAATGTGGAGGCACTCGACAACACAATATACCCGCGGTTTCACGACCCAAACATCTCAAGCTAAACCGTCAATAGCGCTTTCCTGGCAACTATGCTAATTAGACGACGCGGACGATCCGGGCAAATCTTACCGCAGTTACGTATGCAAAAGGATCTGAAACGGATCTGACAGACGGTAGTTTGAAGAATTACTGGCAGGCCGCCGCTCATGCATGGCAAGCGAATGAAGGACTTCTGCAAACCATCGCAGGACGTCTCAAACACGACCAGCCTCGCCGCCGCGCGGCGCCAAGGCCCGGGCCGTCCGAGCGTGCTTCAAAACCCGCCAGCACGTCCAGGAGGCAAGCGGCACTTACGGCCGACAAAACAGCGGCGTCCCAGACACCGAGAGATCGATACCAAGGCCGGCCGGCCGGGGGCGGGGCGGGGCCGGCCGGTCAAGCGCGGGGACACTCAATGACGCCGTAACTTACCCATGGCCATCAGGGCGGCCGGCTATTTCGTGATGAGGTCAATCACGGGTATGCCGCTCGTCATGGCCCCTTGATGGTCCATCGCGGGGCCCAGGAGTGCGCGAGAGGCTCGGAGACGGCCGTGGGGCCTTGAGACGGCCGTGGGCCTCGGAGACGGCCGTGCGGCTCGGAGACCCACCACTGAACTCGAGGCCAGGCCCTCGGCACGGACGCGCACCCGCTGCGCCGTTCGGCATCGCATTCAGACGCCCGCAACAGCACCGCGGCGCATAAACAGATCGAGCCGCTGCGAGCTGAGATGCTGGCGGGTGGGTCGCCGGTCTCAGCGGGTGGTCATCGGGACGCGGCCCGACGCTCGGCAGCCGCGCCGACCGGCCCGGCGCCCGCCAACGCCGCCGCCGCCGGTCACAGCCAGACGCGCCGGCGACCGTCGAAGGGCGCGGAGCCTCGGCCCGCACACGGCGCCTCTGACAGGGCAGGAGCGCACCGGGCCCCGGTCGGCCTCTGGCGGGACCCCGTCGGTCGGGTCACCAGGGGCGACGTTCACACGCCGTGTGGATTCGTCCCACAAGGAGTGGATGATGAGCACTCAGACAGCCGACTGCAGTGGACCCACTTTACGGCGAGAGGTCCTCGCAACGAGCTGTCGACGGCCTCTAGCGAACTGGGAGAGGTCGGACTGAAGGGGCCCTTCCGGGCCGCCGCTTCTCGAGCCCTCCCGCCGGCAGCGCCTGCGGAGCGTGGCCGCCGCCCAGCCGCTGCCTTCCCAGCAGCAGCGGAGGTCCGAGCGAAGGCCCGTCTGCCTTCCACACGCCAGAGATTGAGCCAGAGACGGCCGGTACAGCGTAACCACAGGTGGAGCAGGCTGGACCGACGGGGACAGCGAGCACTGGCGGGGCAGGCTGGACCGACGAGGACAGAGAACACGGGGGGGGGGGGGGGCAGGCTGGACCGACGGGTACAGAGAGCACGGGCCTGGCCAGGCAGGACCGACGGGGAGAGAGAGCACGGACGGGTCAGGCAGCACCGACGGGGACAGCGAGCACCGGCGGGGCAGGCTAGACCGACGAGGACAGAGAACACAGGCGAGACATGCTGGACCGACGGGGACAGCGACCACGGGCGGGGAGGGCCGGCCAGCCGCACAGCCCGAGGACGGCGGCGCGACACCGGCGGGAGAGGGGGGGGGGACGCTCGGCGGCGCCGGCTCACCTCCGGGGTCATCCGGGACACGGTCGGCATGTCGTAGCCGGCGCTGACGAACAACTGGTAGTACTCCTCGAAGTGGAAGTCGGTCAGCCAGGCGTTCAGCACCTCAGAGTCCTGCGGCAGAGGGTGGCGGTGTCAGCTCGCGCGCTTAAGACCCGTGTCACACTTACCTGCACCGCCCACCACACCGAACCACACACATACTGACCACGACAGCCGCAGCGGCCGGCTGGTTACAAGTCGATTACAGAGTTCAGAAACATCACTGCTCCGTGGTGGAGACAAGCGCCAAGGGTCAGGAGCGTAGGATACTGATAGACACTGAAAAATCGTGTACTCAGAGCGCCGAGCGATGTACGGCCTCGTCCAGCTCCACCCAGCTCTCGCTACGGCCTGAGTGATGTGTCGGTGGTGACGGCAGGAAACGCTGCCGGTTGCCAACTGATACCGCGGGGAAACGGACATGGTATTCACCCCACTGCACTAATCCTACTGTGTAATTATGTGGGACTGTTGGATCGTAACGCGCGATGTGCAAGTGACATGAACCAATACGCACACCAAAGGTTTCTTGAAGCGACCTTAATCTAACGAAGGCTGATAATATCCTCGATAAGCTACTATGAAAATGCAGAGCAAGAATTAAGAGAAGACTGCGATGATCAAAGATAATCCAGGCACGTGAAGTCAAATCCAATAGATCTGTGTCCCTTCGGCCTTGTATCTTCCACGAACTCGCGATAAAGGATCCTGCGAGACCGTCGAAGTTTCCTTTTCCGAAACACGGCGTTTTATCTCCTCGACACACAACAGGCACCCGAAGCCCGTCGACTTAGCCGGGCTTTAGGTGCCCGTCCGATCGCAGCAGCTCCAAATCCCCGGCTCTGAGCGAACTTAGTTCTGAGAGCGCCCGCGTCCAGGGTCACCGCGTGTGACCTGAGGCCGGGGTCGCCGAGGCTGGGCTGAGGATCGGGCCGGCCGGGGTCGCCGAGGCTGAGCTGAGGATCGGGCCCGGCCGGGGTCGCCGAGTGTGACCGGAGGACCGGCCGGGGTCGCCGAGGCTGAGCTGAGGATCGGGCCCGGCCGGGGTCGCCGAGGCTGACTAGAGGATCGGGCCGGCCGGGGTCGCCGAGGCTGATCTGAGGACCGGGCCGGCCAGGGTCGCCGAGGCTGACCTGAGGCCGGGGTCACCGAGGCTGAGCTGAGGATCGGGCCCGGCCGGGGTCGCCGAGTGTGACCGGAGGACCGGCCGGGGTCGCCGAGGCTGAGCTGAGGATCGGGCCCGGCCGGGGTCGCCGAGGCTGAGCTGAGGATCGGACCCGGCCGGGGTCACCGAGGCTGACCTGAGGACCGGGCCGGCCGGGGTCGCCGAGGCTGATCTGAGGATCGGGCCCAGCCGGGGTCGCCGAGTGTGACCGGAGGACCGGCCGGGGTCGCCGAGGCTGAGCTGAGGATCGGGCCCGGCCGGGGTCGCCGAGGCTGACTAGAGGATCGGGCCCGGCCGGGGTCGCCGAGGCTGAGCTGAGGATCGGGCCCGGCCGGGGTCGCCGAGGCTGACTAGAGGATCGGGCCCAGCCGGGGTGGCCGAGGCCGACCTGAGGACCGGGCCGGCCGGGGTCGCCGAGGCTGAGCTGAGGATCGGGCCCGGCCGGGGTCGCCGAGTGTGACCGGAGGACCGGCCGGGGTCGCCGAGCGTGACCGGAGGACCGGGCCGGCCGGGGTCGCCGAGGCTGACCTGAGGATCGGACCCGGCCGGGGTCGCCGAGGCTGACCGAAGGACACCGGGCCGGCCGGGGTCGCCGAGGCTGACCGAAGGACCGGGCGGCCGGGGTCGCCAAGTTTGAACTCGGGACCGAGCCGACCGGGATTGCCGAGTGCCACCGAAGGACCGGGCCGGCCGGGGTCATCGAGTGTGACCTAAGAATCCCTGAGGATCGGACCCGGCCCGGGTCGTCGAGGCTGGCCGGAGAGCCGGACCGGTCGAGCCGCAAGGAATCCGGCTACCGTGTCCACCTCGGACGCCCGGCTTATCTGTGAGCCGGCGTCGCATACGCGGCGGTTGCCATGCTTGCCGCCTGGCTCTTGAACACCAACCGATCCTCGTAGCGTGAAACACCGTCTCAGAGCTGCACCATGCACCCACATCTCAGCCCTCCCGATCCCCAGGATAACACCGCCGCCGCCCGCCTCCTCGCCGAACTGAGCCGATGACCCGCCTACAGGGGCGCCGCGGCCTCCACGCCGTCCCACGCCGTCTCCTCCCCCATGTTTGTGCCAGCGGCCGCCCCCCGCGCCGCCGCCGCCGGCGACAAATGACCCCTGATCGGCGCCGTCTCGCCAGGCGCTGGCCTCCTGCGGACGTTCCCAGGCTGGGCCACCCGTCCCTCGCGCCGCCCCACGCCGCCGTCCGGCCGGACAAATCCGCCAACGGGCCGCCGCCACGGGGGGACACGGACGCTAAGCTGCAGCGTGAGATAACGGACACCAGGCGTGGCGTCCTCCGTCTTCACCTACCCGGGGGCGCTGCAGTTAGCCGCGACACAAGCGCACCGGCCACCAGTCGGCAGGTCTGGCCAGGGGTCAGTCGGGCCCGCGCTATCCCGCCGACACCTCGGCCCACACGCCGACGACATCACCGCCCTACGGACAACACCTCCGGACCGTGCGCTTGAGCAGCCGCCGAGCATCGGCCGCCTGGCCGCGGCACGCTCCCGCAAAACCCCGCTACCCCGGGCTAGTTGAAAGTCAATCGCTCCTCGCCGCCCGTGTCCGACGCCGGTCGAAGCGACGGCCATCGCGCGCGCGCGCGACTCCACTTACAATGGGCCGTCCGCGGGCACATCACTCGCCGGAAGACCGATCGACGGCCGTCGACGCCGACGTAGAGCGGTGACGACAGCGGCCATCCGCCGCGGGGTGCGGCGGCGCTCACGCGAGACGTGGACCGGTCCCGGGGGAGGGTGGTGCCCGGTCCCGGCGGAGGGTAGTGCCCGGTCCCGGCAGAGGGTGGTGCCCGGTCCCGGTGGCGCTCGCTCGAGACGTGGGCCTGGTGCCCCGGCTGGGCGGGCGGCGAGGGGGCGGGGCGCTGAACATGCCGGTGGCACGAGCAGGCGACAGACGGTGTCCAGATCCCAGTTGGAAGCGGCACGTGCCCCCACGCAGGACCGGACCCAGCGCAGAACCCAGCAGGAAGGGGGGTGGGAGCGGAGTGAGCGAGCGACCCGACCGCTAACCACCAGCAGTCCCCCTCCCCCTCCGCACCACAGGCACCACAGCCCGCGCCCACCCTACGCCGACGGCGCCGGCGACACAGTGCCCGGGTCACGGCCGGCGGCTGCGCCCCTGCCCCGGCACACGGTCCGCCATCACCCGTCACCGTTACAGCCGGCGCGTGTTTACCGGCCCGCTATTACAGCGGAGATCGCGAGCCATGGCTGAGCCGCGATGTAAACATGGCCGAGCGGGCCTAACTAATGGCCGCGTCTTAGTGCTTTATCAAGCGGCGCCCTCATTCCAACCAGCTGCCGCTACCGTGCTTCACTCGACTTCAGGATAAGCCGGGCTGATAGCCCACCAAGAGCCGGCACAAAAGGCGGCGGGCGCTCGGTCTGACCATGTGGCTAGAGCGGACGAGCCGGCAGGGACGACATCCGGCGGGCGGTCATGGGACGCATGCATTCCATCCTGCCACCATTGTAAACAAACGTGGCAGGAGCAGCACGCGACGCCAGCTGCCGACGCGTCGGCAGGTAGCGGGCCGGGCCGTCACCGCCGACCGCTCACTCCCGCGGCGTTCGTGGCGCGGACGCTCACTCCCGCGGCGTTCGTGATGCGGGCGCTCCTTCCCGCGGCGTTCGCGGCGCGGGTGCTCGCTCCCGAGGCGTTCGTGGCGCGGACACTCACTCCCGCAGGCGTTCGTGGCGCGGACGCCCGTCGCCACCGACGGGTCCATTGCACGGCGAGCTGGCGGCTCTAAGCCGCAGCTGGGGGCGGCGACGGGCCGGCGGGCCTCAATTGACCCGCCTCCGCGCCGCAGACGGGACCCACCCGGCGAGCGGGCGGCGGCGGGCCGGCGTCGCCGCGCCGCGCGCCCCGGCCCGGCAGCGACCACCTCCGGGTGGCAAAACAGCGGCCGCCGGCCGACCTGTCCAATCCGCTCGCGGCTGACTGAGGCCCGGCGGCGATGGCCGGCCGGCCCCAGCCATCACGCCGCCACCCAAGACTGGCATTCAAATGCCTGCAAACAGCGGCCGAAGCAATTTACGAGATGGCGTATGGAAGGTGGCGTGCGCGGCAAGAAAATGCAGCCAATTCGGCTTGCAGGCGGCCGTGTGCATGGTGATTGCACGCGATTGCGGGCGTTGCAATCGAGCGGCGGCGCGCGGTCGCGACCGGCGTGACCCGCCCGTGGCAGCCCACGCCGAGGAAGCGCGCCCCGCCCATGATCGCAGGCGTGGACCCGACACTGGCAGGCGCGTTCCACGAGCGGGCCATGTGGGCCCGCTGCCCAGCGCTGCGCCGGCACCAGCCGGCGTCTGCACTGGAGCGGCTGCAGCACTGGTCACCGACCCGCCCCGCGTGAGGTCAGCTTCCGAAACTGTGCGGCTCTCACTGCTCAGCGGCCTGGGCTGTACCGTGCGGCCGGCCGGCGCCATTGCCAACAGGGCACGCTGAGGTCAGCAGGGCACGCTGAGGTCAAGAGGGTAGGCTGAGGTCAACAGGGCAGGAGCGGTGCCGACCGGCGGCCACCTCTGGCCGGACTGCTAGAGACGCGTTCCGAGAGGGGAGCTGACGTCGATGTCCAGGATTTCGGCCCCTCCCCTCCCCACGGGACACTGAGATCGGGCCTATTTCTGGCCGTATATTGGCTGGCGACCCAAGTGGGGCCACTTTACGGCGGTGAAGCGGTCAATAGCGCCGGGGTCGGAGGCGCCGCCCCCACCACTGACGCCCAAACACGGCAGACGCTCCAAGGCGCCGATGCCGGCATCAGAACCGCCGCGGGCCGCCTCCGCCGCCGGCGACACACGGCAGCCGCGGCTAGTAACCGCGACCGCGGCCTGGTCCGCCGCGCCCGGGCCCCGGGCCCCGGGCCCCGCGCCCGACGCCAGGGG